GTCTCAAAATAAAAAGGACTGGAGATAACCATTCCTGGGTTCAAACCCCAGTACTGCAAAAGATAAAAAACAGCAATTGTTCTACACTGAGCAGTCTGTAAAATGAACATATGTTAAAGATTACAAATTTGGCAGAGTAGGGAATGGAGACAGAAAAAAATGAAAGAAATATAGCATGTCAGACTCTGAATACTTCTGCTTCATTTCTTATTCCTAAGTGTAAGTAAATCTCATTTTAGCATGAGCACTGCATCATACCTACTAGCTTTCTCCTACTTAAAGAAAACAACCTTACATGAGATTTTTTAAAAAGTCCTTTCCTTAGAGTCACTGATAGAACATTTGAAAAACACCAGAAATTTCAGTAAAAGGTATTAACGTGGGCCCAGCTATATAATCTATAGAACTATGTATTTTTGAGTACCCCCAAAATAGAGTTATTTTGCTACATTGGTTGCTAGTACTGTATCTGCTGAAATGTGAAATAATCCAACAAGATAACTCTTATTAAATAATGTGAGTAGATTCTGCAGAGGTCTTCAGATATTACAGATAAAATCCTATTTAATAAAGAGTGACTTTGAAGGAGCTTATGAGGTTGGGCATGTAATCCTCTTTGAATAAAATATACCTAGTTTTCTGAAATTTTAATTGTATAAGACAGTCACACTTGGGCCATAGATGACTGTTTATTTATTTTACTGTTTGTAATTCATCGGCACTTAATATAAATTGCCAAATAATGTAAATTTTCCTCATTAATGCTATATTAGTTCATCCAGAGAGTGAAATGTTAAAATTATGATGAACTGAAAGCATACAAATTTCCTTCAATGCCTCACATTTTATAAGGTTTTGTTGTGTTAACATTTCAGGTCATATTGGACCTTAAGAGCTGATGAAACTAATAACATTTCAGAGCCCTACATGTACAGTCTGATTATTGGAGCGCACTGTGTCTGGGTTAATGTTTAACAGTGGCTGTCCTCTTGATTCACTTAAGGAGTTTTAAGATGGCAATTTTATTCTTTTCCTGGACTGGCCTTATTGCACTATTAATTAAGACCTGCTTAAAAATAGCCTTCTGAATAGGGCCAGGGAAGGGAAAGCCTTTAAAACAATGGAAATATAGTATTGAATTTATTGTCAGGGCTGCTGTAACTGCTTTCACCCAGGTGAGATTAATGAGTGTCAAAGTCAATGTTGCTTTCTGGGGCAAGCACTACTACTTTTTTTTTTTTCCTTTTGTGGTAATGAGGAATGAACCCAGGAGTGCTCTACCACTGAGCTACATCCCAAGTTCTTTTTATTCTTACTTTTATTTTGACACATGGTCTTACTAAGTTTCTTGAGGCTGGCCTTGAATTTGTGATCCTCCTGCCTTAGCCTTCTGAGTCTCTGGGATTATATGTGCCTCACCACACCCGACAAGATAGTATTACTACTAAGAAATAACTCATTTTATTGATTGTACTCTGAGGTTTCAAAGTGTCTGGGTGCTATTAAAGAACTGACCTTGTATGGTAAGTAATTATGCAATTTAGTTTATCCATGTTTTTCTTCTTTCCTTCCATCATTTCTTCCTTTTTGTAGTGTTGGAGATTGAACCCAAGGCCTCATGCACACTGAGCACACACTCTACCACTGAGCTGCAACCCCATCCCCAAAATACTTTTTATTTTGAAATGAGGTCTGTCCAGGCTTGCTTCCAACTCCTGGGCTCAAAGCAATCCTCCTACCCCAGCCTCTTGAGTAGCTAGGACTATAGATATATAAAACTGCACCTGACTTCACATTATTCTTTTCTTTTTGCAGTACTGGGGATTGAACCCAGGGATACTCTACCACTGAACTACAACTCCAGCCTGTATAATTTTATTTTTAATTTTGAGACATAGTCTCACTAAGTTACCAAGGCTGGTCTCCATCTTGTGATCCTCCTGCCTCAGCCTCCCAAATTGCTGGGATTACAGGAGTGTGCCATGGCTCCCAGCTTCACATTTTTCTTTAATCATGATACGTCTATAGCAACTAAGATAGGAAACATGTGTACACTTTAAATGGTAATTAAAAGTAATCACTCAGGTGACCACCACCTGTATGAAGAAAAATGACCAGAATTCCAAAAATCCTACCCTCACCATGTGCTCCTCCCAGATGGCAACCTTCTCCTCTGAGTAAATCCAGTCTTTCATTTTGTCATATTCTTCCTTCTCTCTATAATGTAATCAATGGATCCTAAAATGATATATTTTAGGTTTGCCTGTTTTTGAACTTACAGGTATAGACTGATAGTGTTATGTGCTCCTTGCTTCTGGAACCTTCCACTCAGCATTGAGTTTGTAAGGTTTTATTCATGTTATATCTACCCAGTGCATTTTAAAAACTCTTTCTCTGTTGCCTCCCTCCTTTTTTTTTTTTTTTTTTTTTTTTTTTTTTTTTTTTTTTTTTTTAGTTAGGACCCTTGTAACTGTAAATGATTTGGGACTTTCTGCTAAATGATTGGTCTGAAGGATAAAACTTTGTCTGGACCCCAGTTTTCTGAGCTGACCTGACTGCCCCAAGTTTGATGGCATTGGGTTAGATGAGACTACATCTTTAAGGCTTCCGTGCTCGGTTAAAAATCTTCCTTTCTCCAAGGCTGGTCCAAGGGTCTGGTCACGTGATCCCAACAGTGACATCACACTCTGACCGCCGGGGAGCACTGGTGGCTCTTTAGGTGGCGTTTGTTGCTGTGAAAGGCGGAGAACGCAGCAAGTGCCCTTCTGAAGCGCCTGGGAGCCAGCGGCGCTCCTTCTGTAAAAGCGCCTCAACCTAAATGACTAAATGCAGGCTGCCAAGGTTATTTCTTCCTTGAGGCAGAAAAAAAGAGAACTGTGATTGAAGGTAAGCAGACTTGAGCCTGACTCAGGACTGAAGCATGCCCCCGGGAGCAGGGGATCTGGAGAATCGCAAGCAGTCTGTAGTAGGATTCTAATCACTGCCTGCCCTTTGCGAGGGGCCTGACAATTGCGTCTCTAACAGGAGACCGACTACGACAAAGGAGGATGATGCGGTGGTGCTCATGTTACCTAGTGATGTAATAGGATTCTTTCTTTCCTGCCAGGACGCTGTTGCAGATCTTCATTTTGCTTTAAGATCCTTAAAGCTGGGGGACTCATTTGATATATATAGGGAGAGAGAAAGTAACATTAGATAGCTTTCAGATGCTTTTAAAAATCAGTTTCACAAAATCCTTTCTTTCTTTCCCCCTTTTTTTCCTTCCTGAAAGAACTCTCAAGCCAGAGAAAATTCAAGGGAAGCCTTAAGCTGCTTTTAAAAGTCAATTTTTGGTTGTCTGGAGTCCTGTGTTCGTGTCAGCATTTGACTTAGGAATTGAAACAGTTTAGTCCCCCTCTCCCCCATATGCACTTTATTCTCTTTCTGCCCTTATTTCCTAGCTGGCTTTCCTCTCCAAACTCTCAAACAACACACTAGCTTTCATCTTTATCAGCATGACACTGACATGATAGGAAATGCTGGGCTGGTGATTCAGCAGCCATCCATTTTACAGCCAGGTACCAGTGAAGATATGGAAAGGACTTTGCTTTGGGGTTTTAAGATTAACTTGTTCACCCCCTGTCCTACCCGCTTCCTCCAGATGATATGAACTCTGCTGAGCTTTTCCTTTCAAATGTGTACGTTGCTTGTGTAAAGTGTGCTGAATTAGACATTCAGCAGAATTACAGTTGGTAAAACACATACAGCTTGGCGTATTCATTCAAACTTACCCCATGAGCGTGCTGAAGTTGTCTGGTAGGAGTTTCTAGTGAAAGTGGGCATGCCAGTAGTGGGGAGGGAGTCAGTGGCGGCCCACTCGGGCCTTCTCTGCAGAAGAAGTCATTACCAAACAGTTTGGATGAAACCTTGTCCTGCCAAGGTTGTCCCTGCTGCAAATATGAGCTTTGGCTCGGTGCATTAAATGATGGCATTACTCTGCATTTTTCCTTCCTGTGTGCAATTTGCATAAATTCCTCAATACTGTTTCACATTTTGTGTTTAATAACTAAATATTGTTTCATCAGATGATTCTGCCAAAATATTTTGAACAAGTACGTTAAGCAGTACTAAACATGTGTGAGTACAACTGTTTCGATACTTCTCCCTCGTCCCTGCCATCCATCAAATACATGCATCTTGTTTCAGCTGATATTTATTGAGTATCAGGAATGTGCCAGGCACTGTGGAGAAGGCAATGATGAATCAGATACGGGACTACCAGCTTTTAATCTAGAAAGGAAGATAAAAAATACACATAAGTAATTGTGATGGAAATGCTGAAAGTGAAGCAAGTAAAGGACCATGAGAGATGGGCAAATGGGTGTTATTTTTCTAATTGAAAGATCAGAGAAGGACATCTTATCACTGAGCCATGCACTGTTCTCTAAATTTCTACTTGGAAATCTTCGACTTTCTGACATGTTAGAGTTTCTATGAGCCCTTATATTAGGAATCCAAGTCTTCTGCCTATTGAAGGGAAATTTTAACATTCCAGGTAGCTTAACTCTTGAAGAGGCTTACATGCTTTCTTTGGAGTCCCTGGTTAGGCAAAAGCCATCTCATATGATTGAATTACTGCCTTGTAATTGTAAAATAGTTCTTGATGTGATATGTCTGCAAAGACCTTTGACCCTTTTGTCTGTCTTCCATAAACTGAAGTAACTACACTGCTCCAAACTCCTTCCTGATATTTCTGTAAATCCTTTCTCATTGCAGATCAACTCCTATTATTACTCTCTTTGTACTATTGCTCTCATCTGTCCCTTTCCATTCACACTGCCTTTAGTTACTCATCAAATGGGCCTAGATCACAAAACCTCTGAATGTGATGGATGTACCTACCAGGTAAGGATATTGCACACTCTAACTGTAGTCATCTGATAGTTTAAAGGCTCACCTGTTGGAGCTGAGAAAAGAGGTGTTAAAAATGAAGTAAAATGTCTGTTTCCCATTCAATATAGGGAACAAGTCATACAATGGTGGAGGAATAGGTTCTTCAAATAGGATCATGGACTTCTTGGAGGAGCCAATACCAGGTGTAGGTACCTATGATGATTTCAACACAATTGATTGGGTGAGAGAGAAGTCTCGAGACCGGGATAGACACCGAGAGGTAAGACAAAGGATGGTACGTGAGTGTTAGGAAATACTGGGGGAAGTGTTAGAAAATACTTTTTATTTTTTTTCCTTTCTTCAGTCCTGGATGTGACTGAATTTGATATCTATTATCAATGTAGAGTTTAATTTTTAACTTATTTTGAAAGACATCTTGAATATTATTTTTATCCTAGATGCTTTACAAAATTGTATTTATTGATGATTTGTCTTCCTAAAATAAGGGATTAAAAATGGTCCTTACAGGCCTGGAATGGGTATAAGTGCCTTTGAAGAGGTGAAAACAATCTTTAAAGAGGGTGGCAAAATTAAAGTCAAAGATCTTCCTCCCCCTTCTCATCTCCCTTTTGCGGGTTTTTCCTTGAAGCAAGAATTTTAAAACTAAAATAAGTTAGTGGGCTCCTTTTAAAGGAATAAAAGAAAAAAATTCTCATAGCCCTGGTGTTTACTGAATCATAGGGGATGAATTCCTTATGATTATAGCTCTTGTACAACCATAAAACTCAAATAAATTCATGTATTCAACTCATACCACAAGACCAATCAGTTCAGATTAAGGGCCTTAATTTAATGCAATAGGTAATAGATGGTAATTAGGGTTATGGCAGAGGTTCTTTTGAATTTGGCAAGAGAATTTCCACACTTTTCTCTTTTCAAAGTATTGTGGAAAACTCTCAGAGCAGTCTGCCAAGGTCATTTGCCTTTAATTTGTTGCTGTGTATCATTTAATTTAGGGAATCCAAATTTCTAGTTTGCATAAGGGCCACAATGGAGAGCTCATTAAAAATAGTAGGTGTCAGGGCTGGGGCTATAGCTCAGTGGTAGAGTACTTGCCTCACAATTGTGAGACCCTGGATTCGATCCTCAGCACCACATAAAAATAAATGAAAAAATAAATAAACAAATAAGTAAAGGGATTGTGTCCATCTACAACTAAAAAACTTAAAAAAATAGTAAGTGTCCAACCTTAGCCCAACAATTGTCAGTAGGTGATCCCCTGGTAAGTCATTTCTTTAGGCCACAGTAGTAGTAGCATTTTTAATGCTTTTTTTTTTTTTTTTAGTTGTAGAGGGACATATTTGTTTATTTTTATGTGGTACTAAGGGTTAAACCCAGTGCTTCACACATGCTAGGCAAGTTCTCTACTACTGAACCACCACCGAAGCCCAGTAGTAGTATTTTTTCCTTTACTATTTCTACTTTGACTCAAATTAAAAATGTGATTGTTCAGCTGACCCCATTCTCTCCTGAATTCACAATTTCCTCCTTTCAGAGCCAAGCAAATCTCTTGAGCGGTCAGGTGGAAATCTTTCTGTCTTTCTTTCAATGCTGGGGATGAAACCCAGGGCCTGGTAAATGCTAGGCAAGTGCTCCACTACTAAGCCACACCCCCAGCCTTTGCCTTTCATTCTTAAGCCCTTTCCCAGCTCTTGATTGATTTTCTCAGGACCACCTGAACCCCTGGGAGTCAGGTTGTCCTGGATACAGGCTTTGAGAAATTCCTTCTTAATCCGTGGAATTGTGGTAATTCTACTGAGTTATCACAACTCAAAAGGGTGATCATATAAGGCATTATGTGTTTTTCCTAAGATTTCTGGAGTATACTCCATAATCTTTTTATCATATCAATTAATCAGGCAGACTTTAGAACTGAGAATCTTGCTGGCTTTCTGCTTTCAGAAATCTTGCTGAATTTCTGCTTTCAGAGTTCAGTTTGTCATCAGTTGCATATTCACATTATTCAAATTGTGAGAGTCACCTGTGATATGACAAGAGCATATTTCTCCTATTAATGGTTGCATCTGAGATAAATGATAACAATTAGGAATCCAAAACTGAAGTGCATTTATCACATGGTCTATGGGAACTTTTTTTCCCACTAGCATTAATGATTTGTTATCAGATAGGAAATAATGTCACAGGGAAAAAAATGTAACCTCATCTATTTTCAGCACTGATATTGGAAACAATGTCATAGATCAAAATGCATTTTTAAATTTCTTTTGAAATTTTCAGCTTATTGTGATGTTGTAGGTGAAGGTAGGACAGCTAAATCAACTACTTCCGGTCTAATAAATAATGGTACAGAAAAGGGACAAGTACCCATGACAAAACTGGCAGAATGTTGGTTTTAAAAATATGGATACTGAAAGGTTAAATTGACCAGGCTGGGAATAAAAGGTAAAACTTTCCTTATATTCTGATAGCCTTAGCTTGTGCCTTCAGGTTTCTAAAAAAATGAAAGAAACACATCTCTGGTATCACTAAGTATCTGTGATTAATAAAAAATTAGGGGTTCATGGGATTGGGTGTTAGAACTTGCCTAACCTGAAACATGGCTCTATGAAATAAACCACAGATTGTACTTTCATCATTCACATAAGTCTCTGTTTGTTTATATTTTCGAGACAAACTATTTTCTGGTTTCAAGTGACTGTCCTTGGGATAGCTGATGTCCAAGACAGAAAGAGATCCTTACAATAAGTAAAAGATTGACATTCTAAGAAATTACTGACTAAATTAGGGAAGCCCTAGATAAGGTACTTGTGAGCAACACAGTACTACAGATGAAGGTAGAGTACAGGAAACTTCAAAGTTCTTGGTGAAATCCGTTCAGTTAAAGATTGTATGAGAAGTAATTTTCCATGGGTCTCTATTCCCAGGTGATTATCATTGTATTTCCTTACTGAGCAATTTTGAGGTGAAGGAAGAGTATGTATAGCATATACCAATAGTTTTTTTTTTTTTCATTTTCTCTTAGATCACCAATAAAAGCAAAGAGTCAACATGGGCCTTAATTCACAGTGTGAGCGATGCATTTTCCGGCTGGTTGTTGATGCTCCTTATTGGACTTTTATCAGGTATGGTCAACTATGGTAGTTTTCAAAACAAATCTCTGAAAATTGTGTTGTGCCCCTCCCCTAATTTATGAACTGGCCTGTATGCTGTTTTTCTACCTGAAATGAATCTCCTACCTTAAACAAATGAAGAACTGCATTTAAACATCTTTTGTCTGTTATAACATACCATTTTCATTTTTGGGGGGTGGGTACCAGGGATTGAACTCAGGGGCACTCAACCAGCCCTATTGTGTATTTTGAGACAGGGTCTCACTGAGTTGCTTAGTGCCTCGCTAAATTGCTGAGGCTGGCTTTGAACTTGTGATCCTCCCATCTCAGCCTCCAAGCAGCTGACATTACAGGTGTGCACCACCGGGCCTGGCCCATTTTCACTTTAAGGCGATGTCCACCCTGCATTTTAGTACTTATCTTGAGGAAGAGCCCTTCTGTTAGAAATCATCAGGCATTTTTGTTGTTGTTGTTGTTTTTTGACACATATATACCAATTTTTATTTAAAAACACAGTTTTTAAAAAAGTATTCTGAATGGAGTTTAGGAGAGCAGATGCATACAAGAATTCCCTGAGACAGCTGTTTCTTGAACTTTTGTCTACTCTTTCATTTGGTGGTATATAAAGGCATGTGACGTGGTCCATTCTTTCAAGGAATTTCTCATTGCATTCTTTCATGGTGGCTGAGCAGTGAGATGGTACCACCTCTTTCTTTGTTTTATTTATTTATACCACCTTTTTCTATTAGCTCCATCAGCTTCCTTTACCACTCAAAATAATATAGGCTAAGTATCCCTTATCCAAAATACTTGCAGACAGAAGTATTTCAGATTTTTTTTTTGGTTTTGGAATATTTTCATACACATAATAAGATATTTGGAGGAAGAGACCCAAATCTAAACTTGAAATTTATTTATTTTATGTTTTGTTGTGCTGGGGATGGAACACATAGCCTTCCTTGTACTTGCTACTCTTGCACTCTAGCAAGGAACTACATTCCAAGTCTCCATTTATGTTTTATATATACCTTGCACACATAGCTGGAAGGTAATTTTATACAGTATTTTTAGACCATATGAATTTTGATTATGGTCCATCTTCAGAGGTCAGATGTGGAATTTTCCATTTTTGCTGATATGTTGGAGCTCAGAAAGTTCTGGATTGTGGAGCTTTCCAGATTAGGGATTCTTAAACTGTATACAGTCTAAGTAAAACTAGTATATATGCTATGCAAATATAGCTTTAAAGCAAGTTCTCAAATAGGCTTCTATTATGGGGGAAGCAGAGAGCCAAGGATGCCAGGCAGAGATGCCAAAAGGTATGTACTTATAACATTAAATGATGCCAGGTACAATGACACATACCTGTAATCCCAGGCACTTGGGAGGATGAGGCAGGAGGATCACAGTCCAAGGCCAGCCTCAGCAATTTACCAAGGCTCTAGGAAACTTAGGAAGATCCTGTCTCAGAATTAAAAAAAAAGTGATGGGGATGTGACTCAGAAGTAGAGAAACGTAGGCTCAATCCCAAGTACCAGAAAATAAATTGAAAATAAAAGATGGGGCCTAGGTGTATCTAGAATCTTAGACTGAAATAGAAATTATGTGTGTCCAGGCAAGGTGGGACATGTCTGTAATCACAGAGGCTCAGGAGACTGAGGCAGGAGGATCACAAGTTCAAAGCCAGCCTCAGCAACTTAGCAAGTCCCTAAGCAACTTAGAGGGACCTGTCTCAAAATTAAAAAAAAAAAAAAAAGGACTGGGGATATGGCTTTGTGGTTAAATGACCCTAAGTTCTATCCCTGGTACGGAAAAAAGAAAAAAAAAATAGAAGAAATTAGGTGGAAAAGCTAGAGGAGATGGTGTTAGAGGGTAGGTAACAGTCCAGGATCTAATTTCAGGTAGCTAGAGATTGAATTTCAGTCCCACTACATTTTTGGTGGCTTTGGATAAGTTTCTTGTTAACCCCTAGAAGCTTTAGTTTACTGACCTGTCAAATGGAGATAATAACAGTACCTACATTAAGAGTTTCTGTGAGGATTAAATAGGATATGGCACTTAACACACTGCCCAGTTGTTAATAATGCTGCTGTTACCAAGGGATAATGATTCATGAGCCACAAAGTAGAAAATGGCTACTTTAAATTTAAAAAAATGGCTTATATCCATAGCTAGATTTTTATCTAGGATAGGGGTTGGAAAACTTTTTCTATAAAGGGGCCAGCTAATAAATATTTTAGCACCTGTTCCACTCTGCTGATGTGACATGAAAGCAGCCATAGATCACAGGTGAACAAATGAGCTTGGCTGCCACCAGGACCTTTTTATTTACAAATAAAGGATTGGCCCTTGGGAAGTAGTTTGCAAACCCATGGTCTAGGATGTTAACTCTGCTCTTTCTGACTCATACAGGGTGAGAGAGCACGGTGAGTTTGGAATTGGGTGGTCTGTGATGCAAAATATTGCAGAGAGCTAAAGAGAAGGAAGATGACGGGAAAAGGATATACAGCCTAGAAGTTAGGAGCACATCAATGACCTTGAAAAATCATCTCAGATATATAAAAAGAGCCATATTTCAAGGCACAGAAGCTAGTGTAGAGGTTTAGGTAGTCATTGGGGAAAAAAGGAGGGGCAAAATCTTAAAATGATAACAAGGAGAAGGGATAGCATTTTATTCTTTGGCTCAGGGGAAACCTAATAAAATTTGTAACCAGCAAAGAAAGGGCTGATTGAGAGAAGGAGGAGGACAGGTAGAAATAAAAGGAAGGATAAGATGGTGGGTAATAGCGTTGGGTAAAATAAGACACACACACATGAAATAACCAGAGAGTAAGTCAAACTATATAACATCTTGTTAATTTTCTAAGTCCAGGCAGACTTACTATGACTCAATATGAGTTAGAAAGAAGTGAAGGCTGGAGGGTGGGGTGGCCAAAAGTTGGTGTCAAACAACGTGCTAGATTTGACTAGGGTATTCAAGGATGTAAATAGCCTGTGCTAACACTTTTAGCACCTACCAAAACACACACATGACATGGCCTCTTGCCTGGTGGAATGTAGGCGTCATATCCTCCACTTTTTAATGTATTTCTTGTCACTAGGTGGTCAGTGACTATTTTTCTTTCCCTCATACACAAGAGTATTTTGTTTTTAAGCACTGGAGAGCAACAATGGAAGCAGTGTGTCTGAGTGCAAGAACAGTCTGGGAATTCAGGGGCTGTGAATTTTATGATGTCTTTACTATTTCCCTAAAGCATGACTTTGGGTCATTTAATTTCTCTATGCCAGAGTTTCTTCATCTGGAAGACAGAAATGAAGAGAAGGCCAGAATCTAAAGCACTATAACTATCTTAACCCTATCAGTGGACTATCTATAATACATATGTCCCCAGTTCACTGTTCATTTTCTTATTTTTCTTTTAGAAGAATATTCCATGTATAATAGCATTTATTTCTCCTCACTAAGAAAAATTCAGAATGTTCATGTCCGAGGTTCAGAAGGCTTCAATGTATCTAATTTTCCATGCACATCATAGTTTGTGCTTTTATAAATGCAGTTCCCTTAGCCTACAATGCCTTCCTGCCATTGCTCTAGTTCCCTTGTCTGTGTAGTAAAATCCTGCTACGTAGGATCAGCCTTTCTTTCTATAAACTTTACCAGCTCTCCTCCCCATCTCCAATAACCACCATTAGAATATTTATCAGTATGGGCAAGTCATGTTTTCTCAACTGTGTGTGTGTGTGTGTGTGTGTGTGTAAGCATACATGTACATATATATCGAGAATGAAATAATCTTGAATAAACTTTACCGTCTAAATCAAAGCAGTGTCTTGGCCAGGTAGATTCAACTTAAAGACAAAACCAATAGCCCCTTACTCCCAACCAACTGTTCTTCTTCTCCCCGAGTCCCTCCTGTATACAGACACCAGTGTTTCATGGGGGAGATAATGAGTGAAAACCAAGCCAATGTATGTGCTCGTCAGTTATTTTGATTCCTTTTCCCTTGTTTTTGCTGACAAAACTTTGATTACTGAAGAACAGAGTATCAGAAATGGAATTTAACTTTGGTCTTCTCTCCCTCACAAACCAGGTTCCTTAGCTGGCCTGATAGACATCTCTGCTCATTGGATGACAGACTTAAAAGAAGGCATATGCACAGGAGGGTTCTGGTTTAACCATGAACACTGTTGCTGGAACTCTGAACATGTCACCTTTGAAGACAGAGACAAATGTCCAGAGTGGAATAGTTGGTCCCAACTTATCATCAACACAGATGAGGTAACATACAGTGATGATTTCGGAACCACTAGATTTTATTCTTACATTTATTTCATTTCTGATATTGTACTTGTGGCTATTGTGGAATCTCCCCCTGTATTTCTTTTTATAAAAAGGGGAACACATGCCAGCTGCCTTGTTCTGTGGTTTATGCACAATCCTATTTCCATCTCTTCTGACATGGGCAATCAGTTGTTGCTTATCTTTAAAATGTTGGTTTGTTTAAAATAAGCCCAGCAAGTCTTCTGAGTTGTTAGTATACAATGTAACTGAATATGTCTTTCCCTAATAATTTCAATGGGAATGTCAGAAGCACCCAACAGGTAAGCTATGATTTCTAATGAAGGAGGGAATGGGTTAAAAATGTGTTTAGGGCTAGGGGAGTGGTTCAGTGGCAGAGCATTTGCCTAGCATGTTCAAGGTCCTGGGTTTGATCCCAAGCACCACACAAAAATTTTCATTTAAAATCTGTTTATCATATGAACACCAAAAGTGATTGGTTCCCAAGTGTCGCATTAGAATACTAAAACATATGATATATTCCATGTCAAAATAACACAAACCCGGGCTGGGATTTGTAGCTCAGTGGTAAAGTGCTTGCCTAGCACATGTTAGGCACTGGGTTTGATCCTCAGCACTACATAAAAATAAATAAATAAAATAAAGTTACTATGTCCATCTACAACTAAAAATGTTTTTTTTAAATAACAGAAACCTAGGAATAAAATTGCTTATAGTCACATCTTGCAATCAAATCAACATTTTTATTGTCCTCTAGCATGTGTTTTTTGGTGCACAAGTGATTTTGCTTTTTGGTTCATTTCCTTTCTCTTACCACTTTGTTATGTTAGCTCTCTCCCACTGAAAATGAAAGCACATAAAACAAACTCTCAACTCCCAATTCCACTCTTTCACCAACTACATTGGGTACATTTTAGCTCCCTACTCCTCCACTCTGTTGGTAAAGTGGGGAAAGCAAGACTAGGACATATGCTTATACTCTGAAATTTTATTTTTGAAAACAGATCACATATAAATAGAGAGTTAAAGAAGTAGAGAGCAAAATAATGGTCACTGGAGGCTGGGAAGTGAGAGGGGATTGGGGAGAGAGAGGTTGGATAATGGGTACCAAAATCCAGTTAGATAGAAGGAATACTCTTTCTCCAGCACAGAAGGGTGATTATAGAAACTTCAAGATCTCTGTTTTAGCTCTGTTTCCAGGTACCACCTCCCTTTACCCTATGTACTGTCTTAGATTAGAAGGACCTGGGTAGAATAGTTTGAGAGGTCCTGGAATTCAGGGTGAGTGAAGGTGGATGGATGCATGTGTTTCCCTTGCTTTTGATGAGACACTTTTGAAAAAAGTAATTACAAATTTCTAGGAAGTGTTAAAACAGTTGTACAAGGAGATCCTCTATATGCTTCACTCAGCCTCCCTAAATAACACCTTGCATAATGATGACAAATAGTATAAGAAATTGACTTAGATACAAACCACAGACCTAATTTTACCAGTTTTACACTGACTGATTTGAGATAGAGTTCTTTGTGATTTTATCCCATGTGTAGTTTTGTATAACCACCAGCACAGTGAAAATGTAGGACAGTTCTATGACCACAAGGCTCCCTCATACTGTCTGTCCCCATATAGTTGTGTGTGTGTGTGTGTGTGTGTGTGTGTGTGTGTGTGTGTTTTCCAGTAGTTACTGTCAAACCAGACCTGGAGTTTGAGATTTGCTTGAGCAACAACTATCTCTGGCTTTCCTTTTTATGAATGAAATCCTAGCCTGGGGAAAGAGTCTTCTAGGTTTTAGGAAACCTTCTCCTGCCAAGAATTTGGCCTCATCTGTGCCTCTGGCCTGTTTGTTACTTTACCCTTCACTCCCTTTCCCTCTTTGTTTTGTACCTCTGGAGTCTCCTTGCTCCTAGGTTACATTTGAAAGGCAAGGAGATACCAATTGTCTGTGCCTTTGAGGAGCTAAAATCATGGAAAACCTGTATCAAGCTTATAGCATAGAAAAAAAAAACCTGAGCACTCTTTGTCTAGGTCAGTGAATTATATAAATAATGTTTTGTATTTTGAAAAGTCAAAAAGTCCATTGAGTTTTGTATTCCGTGTAATTTGAATGAATTTCAACTCCTAATATTTCTACCAACAAGCATAACCTCCTAGGGTCCAAAATTGTTTTTTTGTAAGGCATGACTATTTACCAGTCCATTAATTTTAATGAATCCTTATTTGTGGTCCAAACTAGATTTCTTTTGTAGCATACTTCATTATCAAAGGGAATAGTCTTAAAGGTATATTCTCTCCATTTTAAAAATAGTTAAAGGTGCTGGGGATATAGCTCAGTGGTAGAACACTTGACTAACGTACATGGCCCTGAGTTCAATGCTGAGTACATAAGAAATATTGCCATTTTATTCTTTGAAATATATGTCATCAAACTTTCTACTCACATACTTGTTGCTGCATCTCTAAAGATGTCATCATTATATATGGGATCTTAAATAAACTAGGTTGGTAAAATGATGGTTACTAGGGACAAAGAGTAGAAGGAGATGGGAAGTAGGCCAAAGGTATGAATTTGTAGTTAGGTGGGATGAATAAATCTAGAGATCGAATATAACATGTAAGGATTATAGTTAATATTGTTGCTGGGCTCAGTGGCACAAGCCTGTAATCCTAGCTACTCAAGAGGCTGAGGCAGGAGTATTGCAAGTTCAAAGCCAGCCTCAGCAATTTAGCAAGACCTTGTCTCAAAAAATTAAAAAAAAAAAAAGGTTTGAATGTAGGTTGGTGATAGAGCACCCCTGGGTTGAATCCCCCAATGCAATAATAATAATAATAATAATAATAATAAGAAGAAGAAGAAGAAGAAGAAGAACTGAAATTTTGCTAAGAGATTTTACATGCTATTACCACACATATGAAGAAAGGCTACAATGGAAGGTGATGATTATGTATGTCTGTTTGATTGTAATAATCATTCATTATGTAGATGTATATGAAAACATCAGGGCCATGAGTGTAGCTCAGTGGTAGAGCATGTACTTAGCATGTACAAGGCCCTGGGTTCAATCCCCATCACCTAAACAACAAAACAAAATGAAAAACATTATGTTGTACACTTTAAACATATGCAATAAACAAGAAAAATCACCAGGCACACTTGTGCATGCCTATAATCCCAGAGACTTAGGAGGCAAAGGCAGGAGGACCACAAGGTCAAGGACAGCCTCAGCAACTTAGAAATACCTTGTCACAAAAGAAATAGAAAAGGGCTGGGAAAGTAGCTCAGTAGTGGAGCAGTCCTGGGTTTGGTCCCCAGTACCACAAGAAAAAAGGAAGGGAAAAATGGGATGGAGGATGGAAGGAAAACCACCCAAGAATTTTAGTCACTATAATATCCTGTGAGATTTTGACACCAAGATAGGTAGCCAAAGGTGAATGTAATGAAATTTTAGAGCTGGACTTCACTTCAAACGTGTAGCCAGGGTTTGGCCATTTCATTAAAAGAACTGATAAAATGCTTGGTAAAATTGATACAGGATCATATATATTAGACTATAAAACCTATCAAAGCACTCACATAAACAGTGAATTTTGGTTCAGGGTTTTGAGTTTGATCTTCTTCCTGTCCATTTCTAAAATGTGTGAATTTCCTTTAGGTGTAACAAAGCATCTTAATTTTCAATACCAAGTGACCTGACCGTATCAGTTGTTGCCTTGTTGAACAATGTGGAAAGAAATATTTGAGCAAATTAATATAGGCCTTTTTCCTTCTGAACTCTTTCCTGTAAAACCATGACTCAGAAGAGCCCCATACCTCACTGAGGTAATCTCAGCTAAAATGAACTTCTCTCTCTTTTTTTCCCTGTTCTAGGGGGCCTTTGCCTACATAGTCAATTATTTCATGTATGTCCTCTGGGCTCTCCTATTTGCCTTCCTTGCTGTATCTCTTGTCAAGGTGTTTGCACCTTATGCCTGTGGCTCTGGAATTCCTGAGGTGAGTATGTTGAAATGGTTTATGAATGGTAACAATATTAATCTTTTTGGTTAAAAGCTTTTAGTGTGTGTTCCGGCCTGTACCATAATTTGGTAAATATTAAACAGAGTCAGATCCTGAGGCCTCTTTAAGTTCTCCCTGAAGCTTTCTCCTAGCCTAGGTGACCTGGAAATTAAAAGGGGTTGATTCTGAGCCTCCTGAGGATTCCTCTTAAACCAGGCTCCTAAACACCTTCCCCAGTCCTTACCCAAGAAGTTCCCAGGGTAAGCCCCAAGATTCTGACCAGAAAAAACAGTGGAATTATCAACTCTGGTAGAGCAAAAGAAATAAAACCATTTCCCTATAATTTTTCCCTACCTTTCTCCCACAATATAATTTAGGCTAAAGGGAATTCCTATTTCTAACTACTTTTGACATAGGTTGCTTTATGGTGACTAAAACCACTGAAATTTTGTCACCAGAATGACCTTGCCCCTGTCTGTTTCTTGACCAAGTAGTAGTCATTTCTTTGGCAGGAGATCAAGATTATATCTAATCTTTCAGGTTGGTTCCAGAACATTGACCTTGCTCTCTCAGAACATGCCCCTTAGGCCACCATTTTGTAAACTAAGGGAAACATCTATTCCTCCCCATCTGCCTTCTCAAATTTCTCCAGCTATCCATTCTCATATATAGTATGCACTTGTCCAGATGTCACATGGCTCCCATTCTCACCACCACCACCAAAATAAAAGGGGGAGGGGGGACATGAAAGCTTGAAGAATAGTTCCACCTTTCTTGAACTCCTGAGCTCCCTCCCAAACTGGGTTCCCTTTAAATCAAGCATTTATACCTCCCTTGTTCAAAAGATGTAGTTTCTATGATGAGGCCCAGATTTTTGCTTCTTAACCTTGTTTTACTTCCTTAGTCTATGTTCAATCTCTCTGTTTGTCCTGCAGATAAAAACTATCTTGAGTGGTTTCATTATTAGGGGCTATTTGGGTAAGTGGACCCTGGTTATCAAAACCATCACCTTGGTGCTGGCAGTGTCCTCTGGCTTGAGCCTGGGCAAAGAGGGCCCCCTAGTGCACGTGGCTTGCTGCTGTGGGAACATCCTTTGCCACTGCTTCAACAAATACAGGAAGAATGAAGCCAAACGCAGAGAGGTAATGAAAAATGGCCTTAATAGTTACTTTTTACATGAGCACTTAAGTGATACAGTCTTATGAATGCAAATCTGGGAATTCTTCCATAGTGAATGCAAACACCCTTTGACTCAGAAAGTTCACTTCTAGGAATTTATCCTACAGGCATCCTAGCATGTGTGTTCACACAGGTTTTTGGGGATAGTCAGTACACTGTTTATCAAAATAGTGAAAATCCGAAGCAACCAAAGTGTCCATCAAGAAGGGACTAATCCAATAAACAATATCCTGCCTGTATAATAGAATATTATGCAACCCTTAAAAAGAATGAGGTAGTCCTACATATGATATTCTGGTGATAGAATAATATTAAATTTTAAAAGTCAGTTTGTGACTGATATGCATATTGTAATTCAGGTAACATTTCAAAAATGTTTATATCTATGAACTTACTATGTCTGGAAAATGGGTTTACCCCAAGTTGTTAAAAATGTCTACTTCTGGTGAGTTGGCCAGTGATCTGGTAGGGAAAGAGAAGTAATGACTTTAACTTTTTATTATATATAATCCTATGCAAGCATATGTTGCTTCTTTACAAAAGGAGTTACAAATTTTTTAACAGATTTTTAAAGAAGATTTGGGGGGGGGGGTACTGGGGATTGAACTCAGGGGCACTCAACCACTGAGGCACATCCCCAGCCCTATTTTGTATTTTATTTAGAGAGTCTCACTGAGTTGCTAAGTACCTCGCCATTGCTGAGGCTGGCTCTGAACTCACGATCCTTCTACCTCAGCCTCCCAAGCTGCTGGGATTATAGGCATGTGCTGTTGCACCTGTCTGAAGAAGATTTCTATTCCTTTTTCCCTCCTTGGTATTGTGGATTGAACCCAGGTATCCTCTCATCCTCAGACATTTTTATTTTTTATTTTGAAATAGCTTCATGCTAAGTTGAGGGTCTTACTGAGTTGCTGAGGCTGGCCTCAAACTTGAGATCCTCCTTCCTCAGCCTCTATGCACCACTGCACCTGGCAGAACTTGTTTATTTCCTATGCAAGAGTAAATATAAATGCATTGTGCAATTCAGGTGTCAACATTTTTATCTTTATTTCTATCTAAGGGCACACTTGACTTGGTTTCTCTCTGGATTAGACCTCACTCTGCCTCCTGCCTCAGCTCTGCTAAACACCTACCCCCACTGGGCTAAATTAGCATCGCTGTAGTTGTTCTCAAATTTATTCAGTTCTTAATGTATGCTCTTTTGAAGAGGAACATTTTTAAAATGTTCCAAGCCATTGGTTCCTTTTTCATCCTGCTATAATTAAGGACCTAAGGAAATAATGGTTCTAGCTTATTTTCCTTGAATTACAAAGCAAGCACATGTAATGGATCAAAGATCAAGGTGATTTCATTAAGAAAGATGCTTCACAAATCTGGAATCTAGCGATTTCTTCTGAAAACAAAAGAAAACAAATAGGTTTTCAAAAACAAAACAAAAAAGGTTAACTGCAAGACCTAGAAGGAAACTGAAAGGCACTGAGGTTTCAAATACAGAATAAATTTTGATAGTTCAAGGGAGAAAGTTCCTGATACACATAGAAAGGAGAGGAAAAATAGCAGAAGTGACATGGGCTTATGTAGTAGACTGTTTATGTATGTGTTATGTGGTAGAGGGACACAAAGTCCATGTTAAAATGGAGAGGTTGTTAAACAGAGATAATATACAATGGAAGCAACAGAGTTGAAGGGAAAAAAACATTTTAACAGGCAAGAATAAAGTGTGGATTGTTGCTGGTTTTCCATTGATGGAGATGAGTTTGAAACTATAGATTGCTGGTTACTTTCCATCCAGAAAATTGTCATTTTTGCTCAAATACTCCCCTATATTATGAAAGGGAAGTTTGATTTGCCTGTTTCTCTGTACAGATGCCATATATTTCTCTGAGTAGATTCGTGGATACTTGGATCTCAAATTTACTTCCTACTGCTCATTTAGACTATCCAGTTATCTTTTCCTATTGTTCTTACCATCGGTGGTACCCTTTTGTGGCCAGTGGCCTTGTCCAAGTGGGTAGATGGCTGAGATTAAAACTGATTTGAGAAGGATGGGCATAGATTGATTTTACCTTGCAGTAGATAATTAAAGCAGCAGCCAACTCAATCCTTCTTCTCCACCCTAATTCATCCTAAACACAGTGAAATCCTCTGTCTCAAGTTGCATGTTGGCTGTCTGAAATGAAAAGCCATTTTAGCTATGAGTTTTCTTTCTCCCCCAATTAACTCTTTCTCCACAGCAACTAGAATCCAAGGGAAGGACTCTGTCTTTCTACGGAACTATGCTTTGTTTGCTATCATCAGTGTTTGTCTTGTACATTTTACATGCTCACACATGCCTACACACAGAGGTGACACTCTCTAAATATCACTCGTTCTCTTTCCCTCTAACAGCTTCTTCTTCTCCTGCTTAGCCCCTTTCCTTGCTGTGCCTAAACATATTTAGCATTTTCTCTTCCTTTAAAAATCGAGCTGCCTTCCTATTTCTGTTTCTAAAGGTTAATGGGCATAGAGTAGGGCACACAGCATGGAAAGCTAAATGTCTGTTGTATAAATAATGCAGCTTCAGAAGAGCTGTGAGCCAATTGTAATTTCAGTTTTGTATCATTAGAGCCTTCTTTAACATCTCATTTGAAAAACATTCCTTTGCAAAGTGCTATGTAAACATCACTGTAAGTACTTCATTTTAGGTAGGGAATAAATACATCAGTTACTGAATTGGGTGTATTGCAGATGGAAGGCATAACTTAGAACACAGCCCATATCCAAATTAATCACAAATGGAAGGCCCTTTGTCCTGCATAAGTATGGGAACCACGTATGTGTGTTCAACATCCAGAAATAGTGGTTGCTCTCAAAGTAAATAGAAATTGAACTACATTTTTGAGGATATGGAGCATGTACAGGATTTTTTTAAAAAAGAAAATGTGTGGTAACAACATTCCTTTAAAAATATGATTGAACATGGAAAAGCAGCATTATTTTATTGCTAATTTTGAGTTTTGGATTGTAGGTCTTGTCAGCTGCAGCTGCTGCTGGTGTATCTGTAGCTTTTGGGGCACCTATCGGAGGAGTGTTATTCAGTCTGGAAGAGGTAATGATTTTTTTTTTTTTGCTACTGAGCATTGAACCCAGGGGTGCTTAACCATTGATCCACATCCCCAGGCCCATTTTTATTTGTTAATATTTTGTCTCAAAATAAAAATAAATTTTTTAAGCTAAAGTTGCTGACGCTCGCTTTGAACTTGAGGTCTTCTTGCCTCAACCTCCCAAATCCCTGTGTTTACAGGCGTGTGCCACTGCACCTGACATGTGCATGCTTGTGTGTCAGGATTTTTGCCAATATCTAAAAATGTTGCAGTCCCTGAGTGCATGGCACAACTCAGTGATTTACTGTGTGACCAGAAATCCCTGGGCGGTTGTCATCCTCCACTCTAATGCCAGCAGCACCACCTTTTCCCCTGAAATCATTTCTCTGTGTATTGACCGAGTTTGCTTTCTCACCTCCTCTCTTATAGGTCAGCTACTATTTTCCCCTCAAAACTTTGTGGCGTTCATTCTTTGCTGCCCTGGTGGCAGCATTTACTCTACGCTCCATCAATCCATTTGGGAACAGCCGCCTAGTTCTGTTTTATGTGGAGTTTCACACCCCGTGGCATCTCTTTGAGCTTGTACCATTCATTCTGCTGGGCATATTTGGTGGTCTGTGGGGAGCTCTGTTTATCCGCACAAACATTGCCTGGTGTCGGAAGCGTAAGACCACTCAGTTGGGCAAGTATCCCGTCATAGAGGTACTCATCGTGACAGCCATCACTGCCATCCTGGCTTTCCCCAATGAATATACCCGAATGAGTACAAGTGAGCTCATTTCTGAGCTGTTCAATGACTGTGGCCTTCTGGACTCCTCCAAGCTGTGTGATTATGAGAACCGTTTTAATACAAGCAAGGGCGGTGAACTGCCTGACAGACCGGCTGGCGTGGGAGTCTACAGTGCCATGTGGCAGCTGGCTTTAACACTCATCCTGAAAATTGTCATTACTATATTCACCTTTGGCATGAAGGTGAGGAATTCTTTTGGCACTTAGTGGCTGTGTGTGTGGCTGTGGGTTTTTGAGGGCAAAGCCAAGGTATCTTACAGTTACAATAGTTCATGTGGTAATTACCCCACCCCAAAGCCTCTTTTACCCCCACTTGTTCCCATAACTTCCTAGATAACTTTACCTCTCTCAAGTTGTCCAAGATTATTTTGAGACCAAATGCAAACCTTAGTGATGAGATTGTGGGGAGACATGTCTTTTCCTTTTCTGTGGGAAGCAATTTTCCCTCAAAAAGGATGGTGAGGTGCCTGTAGAACCAAAAAACAATATTTGTCCTGTATGGTATTAATTCTTACAGGGTGGCTTTAGAGGTTATTCATAAAGTATATTCTCTGAACCCCATTAAGTTGATGGTACTCAACCATTTTGGCTGTTTCAAAGAGGAATTTCATGTTTCAGCCCAATATATATAACTACTTTTGTTGCTTTTTACACTTGGAATCAAGGCAACTACTCAACAACTGGGATCCATTTCGCAAGTTAATATAATTCTGAAACTATTAAAAGCAGACATTGGCATGTTTTCCCTGAACTGAAAAAAGTGGAGGCCTTAGCAGGAGAAAGTAGGATAGTGGTTGTCAGATCCTGGGAAGGGGAATAGGGAGGAAGAGATTGAGAAGAGTTGGCTAACTGGTACATAATAAAATTAGATAGCAGGGATACATTCTAGTGTTGTATAGCTCACTAGGGTGTCAACAGTTGACGATAATTTGTTGCGTATTTCAAAACAGAAGAGAGGATTTGAATGTTCTCAACACACAGAAGTGATAAATGTTCAAGCTGACGGATATAATAATTACTCTGATCTAATCATTATACATTTTATACATGTTTTTAAAATATCACACTGTACCCAATAATATGCATAATTATTATGTGTTAATTTATTTTTTAAAAAAAAAAGAAAACTCAGGCTCGCATGTTTTATTTTAAATACCAGTAATCATTTCTATATTTCAGAAGAAACCAGAAAGGAAATTTTGTTAAGATATTTCCTCCTCCTTACTAGGTTTTTACTTGTTTCTTCTCTTTAGCACCCTACTACCAGAGTATTTCCCTGTATTCTCTGGGGAAACAGAGACTCAAACCAGAAAATAAGGGACAGCAACCTAGTTTCAGCAACACTACTTTCTTAGACATCATCTAACCATCTATGCCCCTCAACACAGAAATAGGATGGAGGCCCTGTAAAGTTTTGCAGTGTCTCTTCAGTTAAATAAAACAATGAAACCATGGGGTAAAAATTAGAGGGAATTTGTAGGCCCTCAGAACACCAGATTCAAATGCATTCCAAAATCAAATTCAGACTATTTTAAAACAATCTGCTGTTTTTATTATCCTTGACATAATTTCCCTCTTAGAACAGAATATTAATAATTTATTACAGCATCCTAAAAAAAGCAGGAAGATAGATGAAGTATCCTTTTTTGCTTAAGCATGCAACCATAGCCATTTGCTTATTTAAAATGTTTGTTTAATATTTCTTTATGCTGTTGCAAAACAATGAAACCTCATATACCATCCTTTTTGTGTGCACAGTGGGTTAGGATTCAATGTATGAGCATGGTTGTGAGCATTCCGTTTAGATCCAAGCACCAGTATTTACTAAATCCTGACCTTGGATGAGTTTCTTGACCTTTCTGATCCTTAGGTTCTTGATCATTTGGGAATAATAATGCCTACCTCCTGGGGTTGTTATGAAGAATCTACAAAATCTTACGTGTAGAGCATTCAGCATAGACCACTGTAGTCAGAAATTGTAATTGATAAGTATTCAAACTGGGGAAAATGTCTGCATATATAAGAAACTCCATCTATTTTCCTTTTTCTTTGGGAAAGGCCTAATTTCTGCCTCCAGTTCTGTGTTGGTCTGGAGAGTTCAGGCTCTTGCCTGATGGACCCCGAATCAGGGTAAGCTTCTTTGCAGTCATCCTTGCCTGCACGTCCTGGAGAACCTCTAGTCCCTGTAGTGTTACACAAATCTTTATAGCCACTTGCTAGCATAGTGCGTAGTTAAATTGTCAATGGCCTGTTTGCTTCGCAGAGGGTCAGTCCTCCAGCCCTTACCGTATGCCAAGCAGTCGCATCATTTGTCACTAACCATCTCTTGCTTTCTCTTTGCAGATCCCTTCTGGCCTCTTTATCCCTAGCATGGCTGTTGGTGCTATAGCAGGTCGGCTTTTAGGAGTAGGAATGGAACAACTGGCTTATTACCACCATGACTGGACAATCTTTAATAGTTGGTGTAGTCAGGGAGCTGATTGCATCACCCCTGGTCTTTATGCGATGGTTGGGGCTGCTGCCTGCTTAGGTGAGTAGGGTTCACAATGATTTCAAAGAAGTTGCTACCCAGCTATCCAGCTGATATACAAAAGAAGAGTGATATTAAGCACAGACTGCAGAATTTTATAAACGATCATCCATTTCCTAATGTGTTTGCTATTTTTCAAGAGCTTTATGAGAGCTAATTCTACTCTTTCCCACTGGGAAAATGATCAGAAATTTAGACAAAGAGGGCTGCACAAGAATACGCATCACAGTATTATTTATGAGACGAAACATTTCCAGTCAACCTGACTTTGCACAGTAAAGAATTGATAAAATAAATTATGGTTCATCCATATATCACTATATTACACAGCCCTTAAATATGATGTTAACATGTTCAAATCTTTAAATATGATGTTAAATAAATTTGTAATAATATGTGAAATATTCCCCACATAAAGAAGGCGAAGAGCATGGTGGATATTTATACATAATGTGAGCTTATCTATGTTTTTGTGTATAGAAAACTTGAAAATGTCCTCTAAAAATTTACTCTGCTTATTAATAGGCAGTGAGCTTGTGAATAATGACTTTGTTCCATATTTTCTGAATTTTCTACAGTGGCATGTATTACTTTTATAATTAGGGAAAGGAAGCACCAAATGAAAAAAAAATACAAGAAGGTATCTTATATTTCTGTGGATGTTATTTTGAAAAATCTGAGTCAGATTGATTATAATATTACTAGAGTCTCAGGGTCTGTGTAGTTATAGGTAGGACTCCATTCTAGCATTAGTTCTGGTAAGTAGCTTTTCCTGTATGGAGCCTGTAACAGGCCAATAATTGGAATGAATCCTGTGCTTTGTGTCCCTTCAATAGCCTGTGTCTATTTCTTTGCAGGGGGTGTGACTCGCATGACTGTTTCTCTTGTTGTCATAATGTTTGAACTGACTGGCGGCTTGGAATATATTGTGCCTCTGATGGCTGCAGCCATGACAAGCAAGTGGGTGGCAGATGCACTTGGACGGGAGGGCATTTATGATGCCCATATCCGTCTCAATGGATACCCCTTTCTTGAAGCCAAAGAAGAGTTTGCTCATAAGACCCTGGCAATGGATGTGATGAAACCCCGGAGAAATGATCCTTTGTTGACTGTCCTGACTCAGGACAGTATGACTGTGGAAGATGTAGAAACCATAATCAGTGAAACCACTTACAGTGGCTTCCCAGTGGTGGTGTCCCGGGAGTCTCAAAGACTTGTAGGCTTTGTCCTTCGAAGAGATCTCATTATTTCAATTGGTAAGTATTTTAGAGAGGAGATCATAGAATCTACTATGTAACTCAATAAATCAGCACAAAATGGGGGAGGACAGGGGATAGGGGACTGATTAGGGGCCAGAATGATTGAACTAGCACTTCTGTTTTCAACTTAACCCCTTTCTGTTCAAATAGAAAATGCTCGGAAGAAACAGGATGGAGTTGTGAGCACTTCTATCATTTATTTCACTGAGCATTCTCCTCCAATGCCACCATACACTCCACCTACCCTGAAGCTTCGGAACATCCTGGATCTCAGCCCCTTCACTGTGACTGACCTGACACCCATGGAGATTGTAGTGGATATCTTCCGCAAGCTGGGACTACGACAGTGCCTGGTTACACACAATGGGTAAGAACTCTTGGGCGAAGACAAATTGCTTGTGGGAAGAAAGAGAATATGGAGACAGAAAAATAAAAAGAAGAATCCAGTGTAAATGAACATTAGTAGTACATTTTGAAGCTCTGAGATAAAAGTAGATATGTTACTTTGATCATCATAATTAGTAGAAAAGGAATTTGGGGAAGAGAATGTATTTGAAAGTTGTTAGATGCATATTATCAATAACTGAGATCCTCGCCTACAAAGGAAATAGCTGTGTTCTCATGTTCAGGCAGCACTGAAATTATAATGGTATCAGGTAGGATATGTATAGAACAAGAGTTCCCCTTATCCTCAGGGATACCTTCCATGACCGCCATCAGATGCCTGAATCTGCAAATAGTACTGAACCCTATATAAAACTCTTTTTTTTTCCTACCAGGTCCCATGGTGCATGCCTGTAACCTCAGCAACTGGGGAGACTAAGGCAGGAGTCCACAAATTTGAGACTAGCCTCACCAACTGAGCAAGACTCTGTCTCAAAATTAAAAAATAAAAACAAAAAAGGTCTGAGATGTAGCTCAGTGGTAGGGTTCCTCTGGGTTTAATTGCCAGTACCCTGCCCCTGAAAAAAAGACTATATTTTTCCTATACCTATGATAAAGTTCAAATTATAAATCGGGCATAGTAAGAGATAATGACAATAAATATGGCACTGCGTTGTTTTCGGACCATGGTTGATCATGGGTAACTGAAACCACAATTTAAAGGAGACTATTGTATTTGGCCCTTACAATCCTTTGTTCTTATTATTTGAGGACAAGAAAACCAAGTTTCAGTGAGGTCTAATGATTTACATGAGGGTCCCCAGTTAATAAACAATGGAGGTAGCTTGAAACACAAATCTTCCGACTCCAAAGTCCATGGCTCTTTCCTTCCCAGGATATTTCTTGTCCAGTAAAGGAAGTCCTTCAGTTTTTACTGGAAAAGAGAGGCGGGAGAGGAGAAGGGTGGAGTTTTTTTCTGAACATTTTTCTGCTGCATTCATCCAGCCGCTACATAAGAATTCCCCCCTCCTTTAATTTTTTTTTTTTTGTGTGTGTGGTGTTGGGGATCAAATCCATGGCCTTGTACATGCAAGTGTTCTATCACTGAACTATATCCCCAGCCTTTTTTATTTTGACTTTTGAAATAGGGTCTCACTAAATTTCTGAGGCTGACCTCAATCTTGTGATCCTTTTGCATCAGCCTCCTGAGTAGCTGGGGGGTTACATGTGTGCATCATCATGCCTGGCTGCTCCCTCCTCTAAAATTTTCAAGTGCCATATCTGATGTCTAGCAGAATCTAAATCAGTAAGGGGGCTCTCCTTAACTGGTTCATTCAACAGTTGCTGAATCCCTACTTCATGTAAGAAGGTATTATGGATTCTGTGGAGATACAAAAATAAATAATACCCTTCTCTATCCTCAAGGAGTCTGCAGTGTTATGGGGGAATGCAGGATACACAAGTGGTTATAGGAAAGTAGCAAAGAGGGCAGCTATTATAGAAGAGGCCTGCACAAAACATGCTGTTGCTGGGAGCAGAACAGTTATTACTGGTTTATAGGATCAGGAAAGTTTCTGGAAGAGGAACATTTGGACTGGGTTGCAGTAAGTAAGAAAGATTCATATATTTAGAGAATATAGAGCAGAGTAAATTGCAGGACCTGAGACCCAGATGTAGAAGTTCTCACATATATTTAGGGACTGGTGCATCGTCCTGTTTGCCTGGAACATGCATCCAACTCCTGTTGTCTCAACATTCTGGAAGTGCAGATAGTGTTTAAAGGCAAAGTTGAAAAAGACTGGGGAGGACAAGTGTCATCTTTTGGGAATGTTGTTTTAACTGTAGATTTACTTTTGTTTTGTCGAATTGTGTTTGTCTTTTAGGCGTTTGCTTGGAATCATTACCAAAAAGGATGTGTTAAAGCATATAGCACAGATGGCGAACCAAGATCCTGATTCCATTCTCTTCAACTAGAATCATGGGGTTGTTCTGGATATAAAACAGGAAGGACATTGCAGACCATGGATATATTTTATTAACTGGGTACCCAAAACACATTTCCCATATTTGGATGGTGAAGTCATATTAGCGTGTTGTCTCTTTCGTACAAGTTAACCAGTTGCACTACATAATCTCTGGAAATTAATCTTCTCTTTAGGAGAAAATACAGTTAGGCTTCTGTGATACTGCATTAGGAAGATCTCATGAAAGAGTAAACAAGATTGCTGTGGTTTAATTATATTTGTTTTTTTTTTTAAATATTTTTTTTAATTTAAAAGTAATCGTTAGCCAATATGCAATCACTGAAAACTATGCAAGAAAAATTCCAACCGTCCTGACCTATAGCCTGCAGGAAACTCATGAAAAAGTTACTTTTGGTGGATCTAACTGTCATTGGTGGAAGATGAAGTGTAAACTAAGGGGCTTTGCTTTTCAAACCACCGAAAGGAAAGCCAGAAGGAAAATAGTAATGGTATTCTCTAGACTGTGAAGATTCAGTTCAAATGTTATTCTTGTTCCTGTTACAATATTTAGCATTATTAGTTTGTTCTATGTTTATGTATGTTAATTTTAATTTCTGATTATAAGACAATGCTGCTTTAGTTAATCTCCTCTAAATGAATTGAGAGAGGTTGACTTTTATAGCTTGCTTGTTCCTGGTACTCTTTTGAAGTGCACAAAGATAAGTTATAGAGCTTTCTCCTTGTCTGCAAAAAAAAAAAATGGTAATTTTCCAGATGGTATCTGTTAGCTAGTAGACAAGGACTTTGCCATGAATTTGTAGCAACGAATGATTTCTTCCAGCTTCCTTGAAATGAATGATGAGTAAAGTTCTAAGCAAAGTCAAAGACTAGGAATTTCACATTTTTGTGAGGTCCTAAGTGAAACTCTTACCAGATGCCACCTCCACGAATGATGGTGCTTTAGGCTTCTGGAATATGTAAGAACAGTAAAGGGAACTAAGTCTGGACTGCATACTGGTAAACCAGGGAAGATTCAGAGCTGCGGCAACATCCTCATGCATTCCTTTGTAAAGACCACCAGGATTGAAATAACTGACACTCATGCTCCTCCCAGTGTGAAGTACTCATAACAGGCCAGCTGTCCCCATGAGCATGGATTAGGCTTGGGATACTTTCAAATATATTCAAAGCTTTGGAACAGAATGGGCAACTGTGACTCCCTTGGGGGTCCTTAAAATTCCAAAAGGCAAATCCATCCTAAGACCCAGGGGTGTGGACAAGACCTGGTGACACCAAAGGTGCTTGTATCCAATTGAAAAGGTGCCTGTCTCAATTTCCTACCACACTTAGAACAGTTTTAAACAATTTACACTATAGGGACACCTGGTGGAATTAAAGAACCACCGCCATCATTCCAACCACTATTTCTTTTTCTGTATAGTTTTACCCATGTGCAATTACTCCCTTTCCATTCTGTTCCCCTTCTTACTCTTCAATACTGAATCCTCCCTTTGGGGTTGAGCACTGTGGCTGGTCAATCATTCCTAATAACAAATAATAACTTCTAGGGCTAGGTAAATGGTAAACCAAGGCTCAGCAATCATATGACACATGGACTAGAGGCGATACACAGCCCTTTTCTTTGCCATGTGGCCCAGTTGCTGCCGCCATGTTTCTGTTTCTGCACCAGATGCCCATGGCAGTGAGACTGCACTTCCTCCCATCCTTCTAGCCCAGAATCAGCAATCACTCAGCACATTCCCCTAGACCCAATCCCCAATCACCTCAGTGTACCTCATTTTAAAAGTTGTTGATTCCTGAGTCTAGGACTTTTTACCCCTACTTCTTATCTTTCCAAGATCTGAAATTATTTTAATGCTCAGAGCTATGTAGCCAAGGCTTGTTCTGATTTTTATCTTTAAAAATATAAAGGCAACCACCAGAGTTTATCCTTTTAAGTATATCACTCTAGCATTTTAATGAAAAAGAAAAAAAAACATGCTCCAGGGTACATTGTTATTATAGTCATGGCTCGATAGCTTTATGTCCTTTGGTCCCTTCCATGCCACTGATTCTTTCCTGTGAGATGTCTCTTTGCCTGACCACCCTGTATATTGTGTAGAAAACAAAGTTCTTATGTGTATATTTCTGGTTGAATATGTGCCTCATTAGCTGTTGTTGCCCACTAAAGTTTGCAAAATGGGAAACATGACTATTTCTGGTGTTTGGTGGCAAGGGGAGGTTTGGTCGTATTTTAACATGGAGCAGTGACATGGAGGGTGTCTTGTTTGCCTTTGTTTCTTCTATGCTCTGTTCTTCATTTTAGATAGATGAGCCAGTGTTAAGGTGCTAATTCAGAGAATAAATTCAAGAAATCAGATAACACTGTGCCAAGGTATACTTTAGATGCTAAGCACCGATTGGCCCTCCAGAGAATGACAATGTCCCTTTGATACCTCATTCCTGATAAATCTCATTCATTAACCTCAGTTTCTCAGGAATCCTTGTAGCTCATACTCTAGAAGTAGCTATAGTGCATGGCTCAAAGTTTGGCTAATTGTGGCTAAAGAGCTATACAAAACTACTAGCTCAGCACCATGACACTCAAGAGTTTCTTGTCTTGAGGTAAAGGAAAATGTTCTTCCTGACAATGCCATTTCAGCAGTTAGACATACTTAACCAGAAAAACAAAGCCAGTATATGGAGGTCTGTCAGTAGCCTCAGGTGGTCACCTCAGTGGCAAAAGACTAGATTATTTGTAATTTTTAAAATGAATGAATTGAGGCTAGTCTATTTGGGATTAGAAAATCACCTGCTACAAGGGAAGATTTTACAAAGGAATACTAGCAAGTGCTTCAGCTGAGTTCGGATTTTCCAGGGAAAGATGTCTGGTAGCCATCCAGCCATGAAAGGAGTGAGAGTTCATAGATTTGTAAAAACCTAATTGCTATATTTTGTATCTTCAGCTATCCAATTTAAATAATTTAAGGAAGATGAAAAAAAATTAGTGCATGAGAAGTTAAACCAAAGACGAGAAGTAGGGGACTGATTATACAAAATAATGGCTATGGTAAAGATTATTTCTCTTTTGTTGTTTAATTAGAAACGAGTTGCAATGCTCTCCTCTTTCTCTGGCCCCAGCATCCTGGCTTAGCCCTGCTATAGAGCAGAGATGATATGATCCACAAATCTGGTGGATTATCTGACATTGACTATACTTTGAATTTGCAAGCTGGTAGAGGAAATGATTAATTTTCTGGTTGAACTTCAAAACAAATTGCTTTGACACCCAAGGCTAAATGTAAATCCTTTACAGGAAGAGTGAGAATCCTTTTTTAAAAAAAGAAATTTCTCTTGGGAGGCTAAGGCCAGAGAATCACAACTTCAAGGCTGGCTAGGACAACTTAGCCAGACCCCGAGACAAAAGAAATTTTAAAAAGAGCCGGGGATATGGCTCAGTAATAGAGTGCTTCTCTAGCATGTGTAAGGCCTCAGGTTCAACCTTCAGTACACCTCCCTCCCCAGAAAAAATACTCTAACTATGTGAGCCAAATTAAAATGTTCTAAAACATTTTTTTTTTTTAAAACCACCTCTGAGATTACCTGGATTTCTTTTGGGGAAGGATTTGAAAGTGAGGACAATAGAAAAGTCTGGGTGAGAAAGTATATGAACTATGTAAGAAGGTAGAAAAAAGGCATTCCCATAACCCATGCCATGCATCCTGGCATTGGGATAAACAGAAAGTGCTTGATCATGTACTTCATGGAGATACAAAGTCAAGCAAGCCCCCGAAGCTGTGCTTTCTAAGCAAACTAGAGGTTCAAAGTCATTTTGGCTCAAGGGCCTACCTTCAGAGAGGCCTCTCCAGGACATTCGCACCATCTCAGTGATAAACTTTCTTTACATTTATATTTTAGCTCCCTACTCTCTGTGTATTATATATATTGAAAAGAAATAGATGAGAGTTCCTCAGATGAAAGCTCAGGAGCTGTGTAAATTTGAAGTTCAGTCAGTGCAAGGGACCTTGAGTGATGGCTGGAATTTGCTCTGCTTCAGTTTCAGTTGTTTGCTCTAAGGAGAGACGTTCTGGGAAAAGTGGGTGGGTGTTAGCAACTTGAAGTTACACCCCCAGCATTTGCTGGCTACATTCTCATTTCTAAACATCTGGATCTGGGCAAAGTTTTGAAGAGATACAGTCAACGGAAGTAGCTTTTCCACGGTGTAATCTGATTTTGCCAAATCACCCAAGAAAGGAAGGAAGGAAGGAAGGAATGTGCAGAGTTTGCTTTTCCATGATGGGACCTATCAGATCACCCAACCCAATCTTACAGTCATAGATTCCTACCTCTAAGTTCCTACCAAAGGCCTCCAGCGTCTGTGTGACACTCATTGAATGAATGCTTTGCCTAGAGTTTGGCTTTTTGAGGAGAAATGGTATGTGATGATAGAAAAATGAGAGTTTACAAAAAACAATCCCTGCCTCTCTCCCTCTCCCTCCTTTTCTCTCTCCTGTCTGTCCCTCCACCATGCCTTGAATTCAAATTTCTATCCATTTTGACAAGTAAATTGTTTTGAATGTGGGCATTGGAAGGGAGAGAAAGGATGATTCTAAGAACAGAACATGGAAGGTCCTCCTAAGTTGATGGGGCTGAGGGCACTTTGCTCCATTGGGGCTAAAGCCACAGACACTCCTTGGGAAGGCTGAGGGCTTTAGCACCTCCAGGCAGACCTATGAAGTATTCATTGCTAAACCTCATTATTTCTACTAGTCTACATCTGTTGGAGTTCATGGACAGTCTAGGATTTGGTGAGGGAAATGCCAACTGGCAAAATGGGGAAGAAGGCAGGGCCTGTGATGATTTTTCTAGGGTGGGAATATTCAGCCTCACTATCATATTGAGGATACCTCAGATTACATGATCCTTCGAGAATGCGCCTTTTCCCTCTTCCATTTCATGTTGTCCCCTCTTCATACTCCTTTCTTCCCCCATCAGCCTGCCTTTTTAGTACTCAGCTTTTTATATAAGTATTCACTTTTTTATTATGTATTTGGTCCATTGGGACTGTATAATGATTATGAATTTATTCCATTCATGATAAAATATGTTTAATATTTTGTTCTCTTAAACTATCTTTAGAAGCTATGCTGCTAACCAGGTACAGGCCAGAAAGGCAATGGGCCTGACAGCATCTTGGTCACGTCACCTAAGGGTGACAACAATGTCTTGATGGTGAATCTTCTTCATTTGACCAAGACCAGCCTCCTGCTCATACCTCTGCCCATTCATTTCTGGCTATGGGAAGTATACCAGCCATTGGGTGAGCCACTAAGGCCAGGAGGGTCAGAAGGGCTGGGTTCCAGCCCACGGGCCACTATGTGAATATCTCTGTAATAAGCTCATTTGTAGTGCCGGCTCCAAGTGAAGTAGCCAAAGAAAACCTGTCTGGAAATTGTAATTCCTGAGTGTTGGTCAAAGTTCAGATGAAGCTAATGTATAGACATCAGCACTAACTTGGCATCCCGAAGCTAGCTTCAACCAAAGCCTATGGAGCCTGTTGCCAGGGGAAGCTTGGTGCTGAGCTGTTCAGAACAGTCATTTGAGTGTTGCCAACCCTGTAGCCTTGCTTTCTTAGCTTTATCCTCACTTGCTTATTCGGACACACAGCCTGAACCAAAGCTGTGGCTCACTGCTCAATTTGTCCTGCTCCCTGGTCATGCATAGTGACATAGTGTAAAAAGGAAGATATGACTGGGGAGTTCGGAGACCTGGTTTTTATTCCCTATGCTTCTACTAACTAGCCTCAAGATCTTAACCGCTCTGTGCCTCAGTGTTCCCATCTGCAAAATGGGGATAGTGTTAATTGCCCTACCTACCTCACAGGGTTGTTGTGAGGATAAACTGAGACAATGAATTGAAAGTACTTTGACAAGTAAGTGCTATGCAAATTGTAAGAAATGGAAACAATCATGTTAATGGCAATGGAATGGACATTGGCAGAAGGGTTGATGGGATCATCCAGCCCTTTCTCTGTGTGGCTTAAATCCAGGTCGCCATTGCTTTATACATTTTCACTTAGCACATATTTGTAATTATGCATGTAATAAAGCACAGCCTTATCCAGCATGGTGTCTGGTGTGTTTTTGAAGACCCTAAACTTTGTAGCTGCTGACTTCTAACCATAAAAGAAAACATGGGAGCGGGTGTGGGGCTTGGGGGAGGGTAGTATAGAAAGGAACTGCACACTCCAACTGTAAGGTTCACATTTTTCTTTTTCTTTTGGTACCAGGGTTTGAACTCAGAGGCACTCAACCACTGAGCCACATTCCCAGCCCTATTTTGTATTCTATTCAGAGACAAGGTCTCACTGAGTTACTTAGTGCCTCAACACTGCTAAGGCTGGTTTTGAACTCTCGATCCTCCTGCCTCAGCCTCCCAAACCACTGGATTACAGGCACTGCCACTGCACCAGGCTGAGGCTCATTAAACACAAAAGCTTATTAAATACTTATTTTTACATTCTTTTTACTAGAAGGAGGCCCTTGAAGGGCAGCTTGTGTTTTCTGTGATATTCCAGATACCTGGAATCCATGGCAAAGAATGTCATCATTATACCTACTTAAATGTTCTGTCTCATACATTGGTGATACCTTCCTGAGGACATGAGAACAATCTGGGAGCTATATTTTTTCCTTTTTTCTCTTTTTGAACTTTTAATGATGTAAGCTCGTGGACTTTGACAGGGCTGTTGCCTACAGTCCCTTCAAATGAAGAGGGCTATTGGGGATTAAAATATTCCTCTAGTGAATGCCAGGGTTCTTAGTATCCTTTTCATGGTGTGTTGGGAATAAAATATGCCCTGTGGAAAGCCCTCTGTAGTGACCGTGTAGTGACAGTGGGATTGGGCATGGAGAGGTGACTGAATATGCAGCCATTCCCTTTCCACACATCTCTGGAACACAGAAAATAAAGGAACAGCTATACTTTGAAGTATGGCTTTTCTACTTTCTTGCTATTTTCCCCACATCAGCCACCTCCTCGACCCTCCCTCCCTGTCTTTGTTAGCCAAATACTACTGATAAGGCAGTTTGCCATGGATCCAAGTTTAAGACTTTTCTCTAGCAAACATTTGATCACATCTGCATTGGAGTTGACTCAATATTTTGCTGCTACAAAGAACTTGAAAGCCTTTGGCCTACTTGGTTTCATTTCAGGAAGAACATCTCTATGTAAAAATGACTCCCTCACAAACCTAAATCCCACCATGAACTTCAGTGTTTTTTTAATAATTTATTTATGTGGTGCTGAGAATCAAACCCAGGGCCTCACATTTGCTAGGCAAGTGCTCTACCACTGAGCCACAACCCCAGCCCTGAAGTTCAGTTCTTGATGTTATTAGTTTATCGTGAGTCATTTCTACACTATCATCCCTTTCTGTGAATATTTCTTGAGGAAAAAACAATACATCTGTTACCAGCTATCAACAACTTATTAAGTATTAGGGTTGTCATGTCTAGTCAGTGTAGGGCTCAGATAAAAATTGCTTTGATAGAGTATGAGGTACAGACTGATCCATCATCTAGTGCAGGAACTGCCCAGAAAAAAGAAAAAAAAAAAAACAAACAAAACCTGGAAATGACCACCAGATGTCAGTGCAATCATTAAAGTATTGGTGTGGCTAAGGTTTGGTCAGAAGGGAACTGTATCCAAGGTAGGTAGGGCAAAAAGCATAAATTCATAGCTATAGCTAGGTGCTGAGAAAACTGAATTAAATCACATGGTAGGTCTTAATTGATTAGACAGTCTCTTTGTAATGTGCATAATAAAGTTTGTGATCTTATTTTAAAAATTAATATGACAGGTTCTTATTATTTAAGAAAATCAATCACAAGGCAGTCCTTGCCTTCAAGGAGCTTAACCACCCTGATATCTGAAAGCTGTTTCTTTTCGCAGTGGCAAACTGGATAAAAACAACAGGGAGGGCTGGGGTTGTGGCTCAGCGGTAGAACACTTGCCTGGCATGCGTGAGGCCCTGGATTCGATTCTCAGCACCACATAAAAATAAATAAAGTAAAAAATCCATTGACAGTTTAAAAAAACATTAAAAAAGCAATAGGGAAAGAAGGTTCCAGTCCCTCCCTTATTAGGGTGGACATATCATTTGTTGCATGACTAAGCCAAATTGACAAGGGGAGGGTAGTCATGACACTCATGGACAGGAGGCATAAACTGAGATTATCCCAGGCAAACAAAAAGCTTGATCATTCTAATCCTCAGGTATCATTAACTGTTCATCTTTGGACTCTATCTCAAGTTTCCTAAGTTCCTTCCCTTAGAATCTCAGGCTCTGCCCTTCCCTTGAGCTTCTATAGATCCTCCCACAGGCTCTCCTACCTCATAATAAGCATTCACAACTGTTACTGGGATGTAGGATTAAAGAAATGCTCAACCATAAGTTTAAAAAGTTCTTATGGGTAAATGGCAGAAAGATCAATAGAGGGAAAGGAGCAAGGGTAGGGAAAGTGAAGGGGAAGGAGGGGTACTGGGGTCCTAGTTAGGATAAGATATATTTTATGCTTGTATACTTGATATACTTTTGTAGAAAAATGGATTCTACTATCATGTACAACTAAAAAGAAAAATTTATTGTTTTCAAAAACAATAATAGGGCTCTGAACAGAGAGCAGCATTCATTTCATAAGAAAGCCACTTTCGGGTTCCCTTAGTCCTCCTCAAGGTGTCAGGTTGAGGTGCTCCCATGCCTGTGCATTGCCCACAGTTCATGTCTCTACTAGTCCACTTTAAGATCTTAAGTCAGAAGGCTGCAAATAGAAGATAGAAAGAATGGTAAAAGGATTTGGAGCCAGAGGACCTAGACTCAAGACTTACTGTAAAGGAATTACTACCTTTTTTTTGATTAAACAAAACTCAGGGTCTCTAAATTGGCCTTGAAGGAAGTCTCCTCTTGGAAAGGGGATCATGGGCCTTGAAGTATGGCTTGGCTTCCAGAACATACTCCTTGCCTAAGGGGCATGTTTTTCCGGTTACCTCATTGGCTTAGGGGTATGGTGAATATCACCCCCCACTCTTTAATATTCTGGTCCAAGTATGTCTCTTATAGAGGCCTTATAGCTAAGATCAGGGTAGAACTTGCTAACTAAAAGTTAGAGAAGAAAAAGGAGCCAAGAAAAGAAGCCAATAATGTAGAATGTGATTCTCTAGCTTACCTATGGCCATGGCTCCCAAACCTGACTGGGCATCAGAATCATCTGAAATGGGTGTTAACATACAGACTTCTGGGCTGGAGTTGTGGCTCAGTGATAGAGCACTTGCCTAGCATGTGTGAGGCACTGAGTTCGATCCTCAGTACCACATAAGAATAAATAAAGGTATTGGGTCCATGTACAACTAAAATATTTGAAAAATTAAAATACACATTTCTGGGCTGGGGAAGTGGCTCAGAGGTAGAACACTTGCCTAGCATACACATGGCGCTGGGTGCCATTCACAGCACAAATAAATAAATAAATAATAAAAACAAGAGTCAAGTCAGGGAGACACTTGAAAAAAATTCCTGGACAATTTGGAACCAGGCCTTAGATTAGTCTTTGGAGAACTCTGGAGGAGTATAGCAGGCTTCATCCCAACCTGAGTCCTTATGAGCCTCCTATGTAGTGGATACCATTTCAGCACCTGCCACTACCTGAGAGAACTCATTTTTCTGCTTCTTGTTTACCGTTGCATCCAAACAGTGTCTAGCAAAGAGCAGGAACTCAGAAAATACAGAGTTTACTGAATACTGTCTGTGTAAAACTTGCCCTCCTTATTCCTGTTTCCTGTCTGAAGATGTAGGTCTTACCCAGATGTACGCCACCTTTGTAGATACCACCATTACCCAGCCATAAGGCTTTGTTTGTTTTGTTCTGTGTACTGTGAAATTGGTGCTTTACCAATTAGCTACATCCCCAGACCTTTTTTTTTTTCTTAATTTTCATTTTTTTATTTTGAGACATTGCTAAGTTGCTGAGGCTGACCTCAAATTTTTATTCCTCCTGCCTCAGCCTCCAGAGCTGCTGGGGTTACAGGCGTGCACTACTGTGCCTGGCAGCCATAAAGGCTTCTTATATTTTAAGTCACAACCTGATTATCACCATCTCAGTACAACTCTTTGTAGGTAATAAAGTACATGTATTTCAGTCTTTTCTATTTATTCAGTGGGTGATTTTAGCATGTTTTGACTGTTCTGGACCTCAGCAACGTCTCCTATAAAGTAGGAATGATGAGCTGGGAGTGTGGTTCAGTGGTAGAGCATATGCTTAGCATGTGCGGGGCCCTGGGTCCCATCCACAGTACCATTAAAAAAGGAAAAAAAAGAATGATGATAAAAATCTGCTTCACTGGACCATTGAGATGATAAATTGAAACTGATTATGAAAACCAGACTTTACAAATTGGCTATATGAACATTATCATTATTCATTTGGTCCTGAGGGCTAAAAGAGATAAATGTATGAGGAATAATCAGTTCACTCAACCAATATTTATTAAGCACTTACTTGTTGCCATGTACTATATTAGGCACTGGTGATATAATAAAGGACAAAACAGACCCATGTCCTGGTGATGATCCAAAATAGTCAAGTTTGAATGGTGTAAACTAGCAGTCTTTTCTAGTGAAAAAATACATTCTTCCCCAAGTCTAAGGCCAATGGACTTGGCAACCTCTCCCAATAATAGCACAATCTTGATGACAATCTGGTGACTCCTCTGCCACCAGAATGTTCCCCAATTATTTCTACCTCTCAAATTCTGAATGCACCACTATACCAGAGCAGCCTAGGCACCCTGAAGGCAGTCTGTCAGCAATGAGTGTCAAGAAGGACTCACTCATTTTGTTACCTCCACCTCCAACTCCCACTTGGCCACATCTGAACAAAGTCATTCAAAGAACATTCACATCAGATGTCACCCAGACTGACAAAGTCAATTGTACCTGTTTCCCCTCTAGCCTGTCATCCAGTATCACTCTTCTTTGTAACTTCGGTTACAATACCAAAACTTCCTGGTTTATGAATGATCACCAGCAGATAAGACTGTGTGTATTGAGAGTAGAGAAAAGGGTTGTC